CCTCAGCTCCAAGCAGTTCCCAAGAGACTCACTGCTGCTGTTCTTAAGGAGATTGCAGAAATCCCTGCTTCTGATGACTAGATGGTGGGGGTCTGTGGTGCCTATGCTCAGTTTCCTTTCAACAGGGGAGTTTCTAGAACCACTGGGGCAAATGCATGAAGACAAAGTGAAAATTAGAGAGGCAGGCTTCCACCTGCCAACCATCTACCAGGAAGAAGATATCAGCATCTAGGAGTCTGAGGGACCAGACTATCTAGCTGGATATGACAACACAGACAAAATGCTCAAGTGCACTAGTATGCGTGCACCCACCTCCCTGCAACACCATCCCCTTGTTCACAGAGCGGAAATCATTGTTCAGCAGGCCAAGTGGCTTGCCCAAGTTGACATCTCTCCATGTCCAGAACCCAGACTGGTTCCACACTATCAAGGTTCCTGAAAGAAGGAAACAGAATAGCTAGGAAGGAAACTAGGACCCTATGCCAAGAAGGCATTTGGGACTGTTGAGCTGTCCCCTCCTGATGCCCTAGAGTCCAGGCCTAGAGAATGTGACTGTGCTTTCCTGGGGCCCTAATGGGGTGGGGTTTGCCTTGGCCTTCAAGAGAAGCAATGCTCTACCTATTCTGGGAGGCTACCTGCTGTTTCAAGGGCTAGGGCCCCAGGGGCTGAGAAACAGTAAGTAAGTTGATTGACTTCAGAGCAGCTAGCAGCTTGGCCGCAAAACATTTATTCCTGAGGACTCTGGCCAGCCAGGGTTTAGCTCCCCAGGGTTCAAGGTGCACTTGTCAGCCATGTTTCCACCTGAGCAGGGTGACCAAAGCCGCACTAAACCAAACCCACTACTGGGTTCAGAGCAGTTTCCCTCCCAGCTCTGTACCCAGAGCTGGACCTGCAGCTCTGGTGGGTTCCCCCACCCCCTCCCTGACTGGGCCTTGTCTCTTTCTGTTCTTCTTTCTTTGAACATACAAGCAGGGCAGTGCTGGTGCATGCCTTTAATCCCAGCACTTGGGAGTCAGAGGCAGGAGGATCACAGTGAATTCGGGCCAGCCTGATCAACAAAGCAAGTTCTTGGACAGCCAGGGCTGTTACACAGAGAAACCTTGTCTAGAAAAACAAAACAAAACAAAACAAAAGTCCCCTGACTATAGATGGGGCTGACTGACTCTGCTACCATTTTTTTCCTATGAAGGAGATCCTGACAGAGAGGAGTGCAAACTCTTCCACAGCAGTTACAAAACTGAGCTATACCTCTGCTCATGGAGAAGGGATGTGCCAAGACTTACCTCAGGAGAAGGCCCCAGGGTGGGTGTAAGGACATGAAAGACCTCTCTGAGAAAGCTGACTTTATGGACTGAGGTAGTTAGTTATGTAGTTGTGGAGGTGAGTTTTGTAGAGAAGAACCATGATTACTTGTTCAAAACTATGAACAAGTTCAGATGTGGTAGCCCACACCTTTAATCCCAGCATCTGGGAGGCAGGGGCAAGTATGTCTTCGCCAGCATGCCAGCATGCCAGGGTTACATAGAGAGGCCCTGTCTCAAATAAATAAAAGAAAACAACAAAACCCCACTCTGAACTAGGCAAGGAGTTCCATCATGTTTGTCATGTCAGAACAATGTCAGGACTCGGGTTGGAGCTGCAGATGCCTGTGGGAGGTGGAGGCTCACTGTCATAGCTGGGACCCAGGGTTCCCCTCCAAGTGCTTTTGCTAGCTTTCTGGAATGCAAAGGGGAGCCACTTGTCTGCGTGACAGAGCAAGGGCTGGAGTCTGGCAGTCCTGTGCAGTGTGAGGAGGGCAGGAAGGAAGGCTAGGAGTGTCCGTTTCCATGGCCATTCATCAGCACTCCTCTGTTGCAGAGCAGAGAACAGCCGGACGCAGATGCTGAGCCCAGTAGACCCTGTGCTCCCAGCTTGCAGAGTCAGCCTTAGGTCACTTGGGACGACCTCACTTTCTGTCTCTGTGTAGTGTGGGCCCTCATAGTCAAAGTGTCACTTTGTAGGTGTGAGTCCCTTCCTGTGTGCCTAGGTGGTCTATAGGGAACTAAATTATCCTGTTGGACTGGAAGCTCCCCAGGGACAAGGGCTCTCTACATTCTTACAGTGCTCAGCCTCAACTTAAACTTAAATGCATATGGACATTTGTCCATGGCACCTGCTCTGCTGAGCTCACAGGGACTGTGAGGTTCAGGAGAATAGGCTATGGGATGGAGGTACCTCTGGTGATTAGGCCTGCCTCTGCAACAGAGTCCTGACCAACCAGCAGCTAAGGCTAAAGGCCCAGGGACAAGGGCCACTGTGTATATGACACAATCTGCCTGTGTTCCCAGTAGGACTGAAGTTGGAAAGCTGAGTCATTCATGATGCTTATTTTTATTAAAACCACATACACAAGCACCTGGCAGGATGGTCCAGTGGGTAAAGACTCTTTGCTGCCAAGCCTGATGACCTAAATCTGGTCTCCAGCACTCACGTTGTGGAAAGAGAACTGACTCCCACAGGTTGTCCTCTGGCCTCTCTCTACACATGTGCTGTGCATGTACAGTAAACAAATTAGCAACAACACACACACACACACACACACACTCAATTTTCTAATGAAAGAAAGGGTGTGGATTTGGGTGGGTGGGGAGGTGAGAGGATCTGTGAGGAGTTGAGAGAGGGAAAACAGCGAACAGAATATATTGTATGGAAAAAAATCGATTTTCAATACACAAGAAGAACATGATTTAATTGTACAAAGAGGAAGATGTATGAAGAAATTAAAAAAAAACATTTATTAAAGACATCTGCAGAACACCACCCAGAAGTGACCAGGGTGTGACACTTTTAGACGCTCTGATGCAAACACATTGTGTCACTCATGCATACAGCTGAGAACGCTGAGCCATGCAGACACAGCTGGAAGACACCTCATCTTTCTAGCATCTATGAATCCAAAGGACTGGTGTGCAGGAAGCAGAGGTGACTGAGGCAGACCTGGAGGTGCAAAGGAGATGAGGTGCCAAGGGTCTCTGTTTGCTCAGAAATGAAGAGGGGGTTCCCAGGGTTTGAGACTTCTGGTCTCAAGGGAAGAGGCCTCAGGGAAAGCAGGGCTAGCTGCTTACCCTCCTTGAGGGGTACAGGCCCGGTCTAGACTTTCTTGCTTGTCCTTTATAGACAGGCTCTCCTGCTAGGGGTCAGAGGACTGACTAGGATTTCCCTTCCAGCTCTTAGCCTAAGGCTCAGAGGACAGACAGGAAGGAGTGAAGACAGACAGACAGGCTGTCATCCTGAGGAAGGGCTTAGGGGACCTCTAATATCTGCCTGCTGCTCTATAAAGCCTGAGTTGAGTTGCCCTCAGATTCTGCAAAACTCAGGCAGGCTCTGGCCTCAAAACCTGAAAAGCTTTTTCTAGGCTCCCACAGCCAGGGTGCAGATCCTGCCTTCCTCTTCTCTCTTCCAAGGACTGGGAGCAGAAGGATGGGAAAAGAGTCCAGGAGAGACTGAGCTAATGAGGAGGCGGCAGGTGGGAGGTGACTGGGCAATGACAGGCATAGCCCATCTGTGGTCTAGCCTATGCCCGAAGATGAGGTGATTGGAAAACCTAGAGGAAGGAGTGACTGAATGCAGCAAGCAGAATGACAGTCCTTGGTGGGACAAAGATGCACACATTCTAACGCACAGAACCCATGACCACGCTGTTTTGTGACAACGAAGGATTGAGCTTGCCCATCAGTTTAATTTGAAATAGAGAGGCATCTGGGTCCAGTAGCGTGGGCCTATAAACTCAAGAGACTAAGGCTCAAGTGAATCTTAGAAAAAAAAAATTAAAGTACATTTATTTGTTGGGAAGGTGGTTGGCCATGCCACTGCCATGTGTGTAAAATTAAAAGACAACTGGTAGGAGTTGGTTCTCTCCCTCCACCATGTGGGTCCTGAGGATAAAACTCAGGTTTGTCAGGCTTAGGGTTAAGTGCCTTCACCTGGTGAACATCTACATTCAACTCATCCTGCTCAGGGGAATCTTAAGGTCAGGATCTGCTTGGGCTACATGGTGAGTTCAAGGCAGTCTGAGCGACACAGCCAGATCCTATCTCAAACTTCAAAGGTTTTAACTTCCATTTATTTATTTATTTGATGTGTGTGTGTGTATGTGTGTGTGAGCACATGCACATACACATGCACACATGTGGACATGTGAAGCAAAGTGAGGGAAATTCTGGGTTTCATTCCAGTGTTGAAAGCCAATGCATGAAAGAATGAATAAGAGACAGACAACTACCCTGGGTTATCTGGAGAGGTTCAGTGGTATCACAAATGTCTTCTTTGGGAGGAGAGGTTTCAGGGATTGAACCTGGGGCCTTGATCATTCTAAGTTTGCTCAACTATCACTAAGTTAGAGTCTCAGTTCCCACAAGGGTTTTTGTTTCGTGTTTTTTGTTTTTACTTATTTATTTGTCTGTTTGTTTTTGGAGACAGGGTTTCTTTGTGTAGCCCTGGCTGTCCTGGAACTCACTCTGTAGACCAGGTTGGCCTATAACTCACAGAGATCTAGTTTCTGAGTACAGGGATTAAAGGTGTATGCTACTATACTCAGATGCCCACAGATGTTTTTAAGGGGAAAGAAGGAGGCAAGAGAGATAGACAGAACCTGGGATGTGGCATTAAGTGAAAGACAAGACCATCCATTGCTGGTTGTGAAGAGGGAGGAGGGCATCATGAAACCAAAGAATATAGGAGGCCTCCAAAAACTGGATGAAGGCAATTTAAAACAAAAACAAACAAACAACTTTTTTTTGAGGCGGGAACTCACTCATTCACTGTTCCATAAGAAGCCCGGGCTGGCTTTCAACTCTTGAAAATCCTGTCTCAATCTTTGGAGTACTGGGTGTGTGTCACCTTGCCCATTGACTGTCTACTAGAGCCCTCAGAAGGGGATATAAACCTCCTGAAACTCCAAGCTAACTCTACAAGATCTATTTTGTACATTGGACCCTTAGAATCATAATAGCAGTGAGCTCTTTTTTAAAAATAATTTATTTAACTTTATTTTATGTGCATTGGTACAAAGGTGTCAGACCCCCTGGAACTGGAGTTACAGACAGTTGTCAGTTGCTGTGTGGGCACTGGGAGCTGAACCTGGGTCCTCTGGAAAAGCAGCCAATGCTCCCAACCACTGAGCCATCTCTCCAATCCCAGCTGTGTGCTCTTCTCAGCCATCAAGTGCATGGGCATTTCTTACAGCAGTAACAGGAAGCTGACAGTCTTCAGAAGCTTCTAGTAGGGAGGCTGCAGTTGTACCAGGTCCCAGACTGGGCTGGAGTCAGTATCACAGGACACAGATGATGCCTCTCAAATGTACCCTGGGCTGGCCAGGGAGATCCTGTGCATCTTCTCTGTACTGGGGCCCAGGATGCCCTGAGGATACAGAGACTTAGTGGCAAATCCTGTTCCATCTAAGCCTGGGATAGGCAAAGAAGGATATCACCAGGAACACCTATGGAAACCGCCCACACAAGCCCTCAGTGACTCCAGATGCTTACTCTGGCATTGTCTCTGGCTGAGCACCTGTAAGCCCATGCCCTCAGGACAGACAGAACCCACAGGGAGAGTCTGTGACCACACCTACTGGTAAAGAATAGTCTCATTGCTTAGCTGTCCTCCCTAGGGGGGTCCAGTTTGGCTCCAGAAAAGCACTTAGAGGAAGTCACTGAGTTAGATAACAAGCAGGTCTGCACGAAGTCACTTAACTAGTTAGGCTCACCGCTGGCAGCCTTAGCATCTTCATTCTTAAAGTGGAACCAATGGCTAATCTTGCTTGTCAACTTGACACACCTAGAAAGAGGGAACCTTAAATGAGAAATTGCCACTACCAGATTGGCCTGTGTGTCAGCTACCCGAGGACAGGTGGTCCTGGATTGGATAAGCAAGCAAGCAAGCTGAGCAAACCAAGGAAAGGAAGCTAGTAAGCTGTGTTCCTCTGTGGTCTGTCTCTGCTTCAGTTCCTGGCCTGGCTTCCCTTGATTAATGGCTGTAACCTATAAACCAAATAAAACCTTTCTTTGTGGTCAGTGTTTATTACAACTGAAAGCCAGCTAGAACAATGTGGAGGGCAATACCTGTCTGTATCAGCTGCTCATAGAGCTTGTGGGGCTCTGATGAGCAACACAGAGATCTGGGCAGATCCAGTGCTGTGAGTCCACCTGCCTTTTGGTGTGTGTGTGTGTGTGTGTGTGTGTGTGTGTGTGTGTGTGTGTGTGTGTGTTTGTCCTGGGGTGGGGATGGGGGTGACCAGTGTATCCTGAGGGGAAGGAAGGGAGAGTACAAATTCATCAAAAGCACTTCTCACCCTTAGGCTGTAGCCAGTCTGTAAGAGCAGGCAGGCCCAGCTAGCCAGCCACCACCTCTACAGCTCACACAGGATGCGGATGCGAGAGCCACCCTTGTCCCCACAGGATGTCCTGCTGGCTGGAGCTCTGCACTATGCTTGTTTGTTTTATTTACCACCTAGCTAACAGGGTCTCACTATATATCTCAGAACTGGCTTTGAATTCACAGTAATCCTCCTGCCTCAGCCTCCTGAATGATGGGACTGCGAGTGTGTGCTACTGCGCCCGGCTCATTTTCTTTCTTTTAAAGAATATTTTCTGCGAACATAGATGCCTGCACAAGAAAGGCCTGCAAAAACCACACCAGTCTTTTTCACAAGGCCCCTAGATGGAGAGCCTTGTGCCGTGAGTGGGAGAACCAGTCTCCTTTAAGGATGAGCAACCCCCCAATCCTAAATGGTAAGCCCCAAACACATGGAGGGCTTATATTGAGGAGGGGATAGAGGCCATGAAGGGAGTTGGTGAGGGGAGGTCAAAAGGATCAAAATATAGTCAGCTTGCCTATGAAATTTTCAAATAAAAAAGAAAATGTTTTCTAGCATTCTTCTGCATTAAAAGCAGCCCTTCCTGAGAAAACACAACATTTTACAGGGAAAGATGGGACGTGAAACTGCCCAGTCAGCTGCAGCCTGAGGTCTATCTGATAGCCAAGGATGGAGTAAAATGCAGAGCAATACTTGTGGCAATTACCTCTGGGCGATGCGTTAAAGGTGATTTAGTTCCTTGTGTTTCTTGCATGAACTTTTCCTGGGGTGATGAAAATAAACTCCTATTCACCCTGTTCCCAACCTTGGGGTCACAGCCAGGACAGGAAATTCATTCTAGGAGGTCATAACTAGACTTGGGCAGACTGTGAAGTTCTGCCCTGGTATGGACCCTAGCCCTGGCCTTGGCATTGGTCCTGGACATGACACTCTGTTGCTGGGAAGATAAGATGCTAGATGAGATGCAGTCTGGATCCTTAACAGCTCTTTGCAGCATTTGCCCTGGTTTCATCCAAGGTGCTCCTAACTCAGCTTCCAGGGACTCCTCTGAGAGTAGAGAAAAGGGCAAACTCCTCCCCCAGGCCTTGATGTTGTTGACATCTCTCCTTGGCTTGCATCTCCCAGACTCAGTCTGGGAGTCTCTGCCTCTTGGCCTTGGCCTACACTGCAGCCTGCACCTCTCCCAGCCCTACCCTTCCTTGAAGAACAAAGCCTGGCATGGCCAAAGCTGGTCCAGCCTGCTGGCCTGCAGTGACCTCTGCTTCCCCCTAACGTGTGTAACAATAGCTGCCTCTGACTATTAACTTCAGGTCCCTCCACAGAAGTGTTCTTCTTCAACTTCAGGACACCAGAGACTTCACATGCTCAAATGTGAACAATACCCTCCAACAGCAACCCCCACCTCCCTATCCCCACCCCTTCACCCCTTCACTCACCCCCACTCCAGGGTACCAGTTCTGCAATGTGGTGATCCTATGCATTTTCAGATGCCTCTGAGGTATAGATTGTTAATTTGATTTCACTGGTAACTGAAGCTCCAAACGGTTAAATAACTCAGCCGTGGTCACTCAATGGGTTTGTGGCAGAGGCAGGACTTGATCCCTAGAAAGTTATTTTTATTCTCTTTCCATGTCCTAGCATTTGAAGGCACAAAGGGTGTGTTCAAGTGAACACTCAGAGGACACCCAATGATGTCTGGCAGTGGATGTGTTAATCACAGTAAGTAAGGTCAAGGATTATCATGCAATCAGCAAGTCTGTTCAGAGCATCTGGGTGCTCTGGCAGGCAGGGACAAGTTCATTCACAGCTGTACTCCTGCATCTAGCAATTCCTGGAACACAATACATGCTCCTTAAATGATAGAAGTAGTCTATCATCTATTCAAATAACAAAGTGAATAATATAAACTAATGTTGATGAAATGTATACTACCAGCCAGCTGCCTCGGGGCTCCAGGATCTGTGGGAAGGGTTACAACACAGGGTTTTACAACAAAAGATTACCTAGACAAAGGCCATAAGAATATTCTTTTTTTTTTTTTTTTTTTTTTTTTTTTTATTTTTTTTAAAGCTGCTGGTGATGGTGCATGCCTTTGATCCCAGCACTTGGGAGGCAGAGGCAGGCAGATCTTTGTGAGTTCCAGACCATCCTGGTCTACAGAGCAAGCTCTCCAAAGCTATGGAGAAACCCTGTCTTGAAAAATCTAAAAAAAATCTAAATAAATAAATAAATAAAATAAAGTCTTTTTTTTTAAAGGTTTAGTTATTTTTATTTTATGTGCATTGGTTTTTGCCTGCATGTATGCATGTGTAATGGTGCCAGTTTCCCTGGAACAGACAGTAGTGAGCTACCATGTTGGGTGCTGGGAATTGAACCCAGGTCCTCTGGAAGAGCAGCCAGTGTTCTTTAGAGGGCTGGAGAGATGGCTCAGTTGGTAAAGTGCTTGTATCTCAAGCATGAAGTCCTGAGTTTGATCCTTACAACTTACATAAAAACTCAGGTGCACCCTTGCAGTCCTAGCACTGAGGCAAGGACAGGAAGATTCCTGGGGCTTTCTGGAATCCTGGGGCCTAATCGGTGAGTTCCAGGTTCAGTGAAAGACTGCCTCAAAAAACAAGGCAGACGATGACTAGTGCATAACGCCCAATGTTGGCCTCTAGCCTCTACATACATGTGCACCCTCATACCCACACCATACTACAAAGGAAAAGAAAGCGGCTAGAGATATGGCTTAGTGGTTAACAGCACTTGCTACTCTTGCGGATCAAGATTTGGTTCTCAACATGTATTTCATGCAGCTCATAATCACCTATAACTCCAGCTCCAGGAAATCCAATGCCCTCTTCTGGCCTTTGCAGGCACTGCAGTCACATGCACATATCCACTCACAGGCATACACACACAGAATACCAGCAGCAGTGAAAGAATGGGAGTTAACATTTCCCCACCCACGCCTCTGATTCTGCATGTTCAGAATCTGGACATGCCTGTTGCTTCTTCAGACTGGATAACCAGTGTGCTCAGGACCACAGTGTGGAGAGTCATGCACACTGAAATTGGAGAAGCTAAAGGAATATGGCCTTTATTAACACTTGCCAGGACGTCCTATGTAAGAAGAGCCCTTGGGGAAAAGCCTTGGGCATCTCTAAGGAAGCTGGTTCCAACTGGTAGTAGAAGAAGGGGGCCCATGGGCAGCCTGTGAATCAGGCTCTAACAACTCTGTGCTTTGCAGCATATACTACCTACGCACTCACTCAACTGAGTTAAATGTGACACAAGACTCATGCCAAGAAGGGAAATGAGGGTGGAGTAAACAAAGTCTGTACCCACAGTGACTATCAGGCCACCAGGGCTGAGTGAGGGAGGCCTTGGTCCCTCACTAAGTATCTCCTAAGCTCCATCATCAGCCCTGGCTACTGGCTGCTTACCTCGTCCTTAAGATCAGGTGGCTGGCAGAGTGAATGAGGTGTCTATGAAGGGGGACTCCTTAGGGATCCTTGGCTGAGATGACTTTAGGTGGGGAGCAAGGTGGGAACAGAAACCCTGGTTGGGTCATTTGCATGAATTCCTCTGTTTCTTCAGGTCCTCTGAAGTACAGACAGGCATTGGTAAAGAAGACAGTGCTTTGTGGGCATTTGCTTCCTACTGGTGACACTATTAGGCAGGGGCAGGGGTAGGGGTGGACCCTAGGAAGTAAGTCAGTAAGAGCAGGCTTTTGAAGGTTATGGCCCAGTCCCTAGTTCTGGCCACTCTTTGCTTCCTGCTGAGCCCCAGCCATAGACTCCTGTCACAACTCCCACTCCCCTACCATGATGGACTGAAATCCCTTTGAAACTGTGAGTCAAAGTAAGCCTTTCCTGCCTTAAATTGTTCCCTTCAGCTATTGTGTGACAAAGCTATGCTTTCTTCCAGCCTCCATTCCCACACCACAGATGGCTCTCGGATATGTAACATATCCAAAGCTGTCTTCCTTCCTCCCTGCCTTCCTCCCTCCTTCCCTCCCTCCCTCCCTCCCTTCCTTCCTCCCTGGAGGGCAAGGCACTGTTGAAAGGGCAGGAAAGACACAGGACACACCAAGACCAAGTTCTCAGCACAAAGGAGGTTTGTTCCGAGGGACAGAGGGCAGGGAACAAGAGACAAAGATGGGAGATAGAGGTTAAGGCAAAAGGGAAAAGGAACAAGGGAGAGAGAGGTAGGGAAGGGATATTTTCCCTGGAGGGACAAAGGACTGCTTCGGGATAGAGAAGAGACAGATATGGCCCATAGGCAAATGACAGTTTATAAAAGGAATAGAAGGAAACCCCATGTTAGGATGAGTTGGTTTGTTTTGATTGGGCATGTTAATTAAGGTAGCAAAAAGGGGGCTTTTGGTTGCTGGACTTCAATACTTTGATAGCTGGACCTTGATGGTCAGCCTTAGGAGGAGGAAGTGGCCAAATAAGGGAACAGACCTTGATGGCTAGCTCTAGGGATGTCATCTAATGGTTAAGCAAGGAATGAGGGAGAGCAAGGCCTGCCAGAGCTGTGTTTGCCATGCTCAGGCCTACTAGAGCCCTTCGCTTTCTGTAGCTGCCTTTATCTTCCTTTGCCAGTCACAGGTTTGGTACAGCAATGTCTCCAAGGAGGTGCTGTCCATCACTGCACTCTTGAGGGCAACAAGAGATTCATAGACACCCACTCCTTACTTCCATGCCTCCCCTCCCCCCTCTCTCCCTTCTGCAGGGTCTCATGTAGCGCAGGCTGGCCTCCAGTTTGCTATGTAGCCAAGAATGGCCTTGAACGACTGATCTTTCTCATTTGACTTCCCAAATGTTAGGATTACAGGCATGGGACACCATACCTGGTTTATGTAAGACTGCAGTTTGAACCCAAGACTTTATGCACGATAGATAAGCATTCTACAACCTGAGCTACATCCTCAGCTCATGTGCTATTTATTTATTTATCTGTCTACCTATTGTATATATGCACGAGTAGGGGCCACATTTCTACTCTCAAGTACATGTCAGAGAACAATTGTGGAAGTCGAGTCTCTCTGTCTACCATGTGTGTTACTGGGAATTGAACCCAGATCATCAGGCATGGTGGCAAGCCCCTTTACTTGCTGAGGCCTATCATCAGCCCTGCTTCTTATTTCCTATGGTGAAAAATTATATGCATAAAAACATACAAAACATATGTTCTGTTTAACAAATAACCACAAGACAAATGTCTATGTAACCACCACCCAAAGCAAGAGCTGATTATCCAATGACTGGCCTCCAGAACCCTCCATGTGCTCCCATTCATCACAGCACAGCCTTGGCTCTCCTCTGTGACACTGATGTTCATTTCCATCCTTTGTGAGTTTGCTTTCCACAATCCAGTGTTGCCAGGGATAAGCTTTTGGAGGAAAATTTATTGTATGTATTTTGTCGTTCTCTTAGTAAGAGACAATGATCATGACAGTATTTTAGGATGGAATGGCTACTACATGTCTCTGTGTCTCCTGTTGTCACTGCAAGAATGTCGCACAGTTTATCTGGGCTCTTTGCTGTCCACGGACATTTGGGTTACCTTCTGTTTGCTTGTCTCCAGTAGCCTAAGCTGACTTTAAACTCAGGATATACTCCTACCTGACCTTTAACTCTTGATCTTCCTTGCCTCCATCTATGAGATTACAGATGTGTGTCATCATACTTGGTGACATTTTGGATTCTTTTTCTGCTGTGTAGATGCTGTGTAACAGTTTCCCTTAGGTTGAAACATTCCATCCTACAGGAAAGCTCCTTGAACAGGAAGGTAAACAATTCAAAATAGTTTAGGAAGTCCCTGAAACTGAGAAGATTCACTAGGCCCTTCCCTGCCAGCATAAACAATAAACCTGAGAGTCTGTCTCAGAGGGAAGAAAGTTGAGCAACAGCCAACCACCGACATTGAGCTTCCTGAAAGAGGTTTAGACCAACCGAGCCACCTGGAAAGGACATCCTTCAGCCTGTTGAGCTCCCAGCACACCGTGCAGGTTGCTCCAGGTCTCAGCTTTGTCAGCTGCCATCCCTGCTGGGGTGGGATTTGGTGATGCAGCTGTCTCTGAGTCATTTCTGCTCCTGTAACTAACCCCCCACCTATATTCCTGTAAGTAACCCCAGAAACTCATGGTTCACTAAGTTGGAGGTTGGTGTTATCCATATTTTGGTCTGTCGAGGGCTTCCTATCTGGGTAGACATGTATGCGTATTGCTTCTCCCCAGGAAAAGTTTTGTCACACAACAATGGATGTGCTGGTGTCCAACAGGTCAGACCGCAGCAAGAAAAGATTCTGCGTGGGACTTTGGGATAATAAGGTATTTGTATTTTCATCTTAATTTTTTTCTTTGCATTTATTTATTTTTTGGTAGGGGACAGAGAACATGCCAAAGCATATATGTGGAGGTCAGAAGATAAGTTGTGGGAATCAGTTTTCTCCTACCATGTAGGTACCAGATATAGACCTTATCATTAGACTTGGTGGCAGGTGCTTTTACCTGGTGAGCCATCTTACCAGGCCCCAACTTCTTTAAAAAAAAAAAGAAAAAAAACATAAAAAAAGTTTTTATTTGTGGTGTGTCTGTGTGTGTTCGTGTGTGTATACACATGTGTGTGCATGTATCCAGAGTCCAGAAGAGAGTGCCAGATGCCTTGGAGCTGGAGTCACAGGTTATCCACTGTGGGTGCTGAGGACGAACTCAAGTCCTCTGTGCGAGCAGCAAGTGCTGCTGACCACTGAGCCACCCCCTCAGCCCGCTCATCTTCACTTTTAATCTAGAAAGTGTTCCTCAGGGAGATAGTGCTATAACTCTGCTGTGTTGTGTGCCTCCTCTTAAGATCTGACTTTCTACCATCTGAACCCTTTGGCCTGGCCAGTACTGTCCCTTCTGTCCCTCTATGGCAACCTTCTCTCTGCTCCTCACACTGGTGGTGCAGTTGGGTGGGGGTGGGACGAAATTCAGAAGAGGAAGTGGAAACCAAATACCAGAGCCATAAGGAAGTCTGGTCCTCCAACGCTGCATACTCTGTGGAGGAATATGTGAGACTCTCGGGGAGCCTGTGTGGAGGCGTGCCCAGGCCGCCCCGCTGAGGTACATAGCCAGACAATCTATTGCTTGGCACCATGTTCCCCAGGCGTACATCACATGTGCAATCTTCACCTCAGTTCCCTTGTGTCACAATACTGAGTCATGGAGCCAGAGACCTTGAATGCCATCGGTACCGAGCACTGGCTAACAGCATGGGATCTGGACCTGTCTAAGTTGAGATTAAAGTGTGATTTATTAGTGGCGTAACTCTGGGTTAGCCCTGGCTTTCTTCCGCCTCGGTTTCTGTATAAAAGAGGGCTGGCAGGGTTACTGAAAGAATCAAAGGCTGTAACGTGTAGAAGGAGCCTAGCAGAGTGCCGGCACAAGTGAAGAATGAGCAGAAAATGGAAACTATCATGGAGTTCGTGGTGGAACCTCAGGCAGAGGGTGGAGGGCTTGTCCTGGCAAGCTGGGCTCTGGCCACTGCACAGATGGTGTTGGTCAGGCTCTGTGAGAGGACCCAGGTGGACTCTGAAACTCACACAGCCAGGAAAGTTCTGCCCCACCCCCGCTTGTCCACCTTTGTTCAGAACACTGTCCCTCTCCATGGGATTCTGAAGGGCAATGATTTCAGAGAGGAACTTCACTGCTTGTGGAAACCATCAGCCCGCCCCTGAATTGCCTCTAGGAGGCTGCACTGGCGGATGGCAGCCATGGCAGCCAATGGGCAATAAAGACTGTTGCTAGGGTCACTGTGAACCTTATTTGGCGACATGGGACTGACCCTGCATTCACCTCTGAGAACCCTGAGAAACGCCAACCACAGCTGTGAAATATGAACATCTCAAAACCACAGCTGCATTTCCTCTGAGAAAAGATTCGGCTCTCCCCCTTTCCCTTCCTTCTCTCCCTGGATGCAGGGAGAGACCTGTGATTCTCAGGGCAGAAAAGCCTGCCGCCTGATACAGACTCATACTGAGCAGGCGCAATGGCAAGAAGGCAGCGACCACTACACAGCCCCTCTCAAGTCCAGACCCTGCAAGGACCCAGCTTCCCTCAGCTGCTCCTCTGTACCCTCCCCACCACCCTCCACCACAAACACACCCAAAGGGCCTGCTCCTTGCCCCCACTTCCTGCGGCCTTAGGAAGCCTGCTGGTGTGAGGAGAATGAGGATGCAGGCAGGGAGGGAGGAAGTGGGCCTGCCCTGTGGGCCCTCACCATCTGCACTGGTCACATCGCTTCAGTGCAGCCCAGGCAGCCCACAGTTCAAACGGTTGGCGGTTTCGGTTTGTCACCTCTGGTACAACTTGCAGCTTAACATTAAATGAAGCCATTGTCACACCCCAGACAAGCATGAGAGGGGAGATGGGCTGACATCCACAGGTCCCCTCACTTTTGCATTGCTCTGTGTGTTTGGGATCTGTGCTTGCATTCATCTCAAAGGCTTCTCACAGCTCTGGCCACGGTAACAATAGTACACAAACACACACACAGAGTAATAAAATTATTTTAAAAAACAAAAACAAACCAGTCATGTTCCCAACCTTCGGCTCCCAATCCACAGGATGAAAATGGCTTTTCTTTCCTGGTCCTTCTGGAGCTGGGTGTCCTTGTGTATATGGGGAGGGCTACGTGAAGCCCGGCTCTATAGGAAAGGGGGCAAAGACAGGGCTATGTTAGGTGTACCACAGTGGTCTACCCCTGTGGCCACTTCCTACTACTAGACCTAGAATCCTGCCATATTGGAGACCATCCAAGTATTCTATGAGCTGGGGCTAGGAACTGGGGACTGCAGATCTGGGGTGCTCTGAGGGCCTGGGAAGGGGTGTGGACATGGAAGCCCCTGAGGCAGTAGTCTCCAGGGTGCATCATCAGGGTTATACGATGACCAGGCACATATCTGAGTGTGTACTCGCTGCATTTGAGGTACTTTGGGGACACAATATAAGCCACACAGACTAAGTCTGGGCCTCAAAAGATGTGTAGCTCAACAAAAGAGGCAGACATTGGACATGGTACCACAAAGATAGCTGACAAATTCGGGGTTGGGAAAGGGTGAAGTTTGAGGGTGTAAGCTTGGGGGGCTTGGGGCTGCTGTTCCCTGAGGAGGAGACCAAGTTCTCTCCTGTATTCTAATTTGATCAGGAAGTCTGCAGCCTGCAGGAAGAATGACCTGCTGGAACCATCCAGTGTGTGTACACTGGAACCCATGTGGTATCTATAGGGGTGGGGCTGGAAGAGAAGCAAGCCCAGGTTTTCTGATCTTTGACCCTCAGTTAAATTGTATGATCAAGCACCTCCTTCCTCATGGGGGAGTCCCCCTCAGTCACTGTTGGAAAGCATCTGCACATGAAGACATGTTATGTACTGACCTCCTGCCCTCAGTGCACAGGCCTCTTTCTCCCTCTGGGACTCTCCGTGTGGCAAAGGCGGCCTGGTACCTCTGAGGGATGTGAGGCTGTGATTTCCAGCTTCAGTTTAGAAGCAACTCTGCCAGCTTCCTACTGGCCCTCATCCTCAGGGCTTCAGAGAAGCTGTAGGGAGAGCAGGAAGCTGTTCAGCCAGCACCCCTGCTCTGGGGGCTCCTGGAGGGCAAGCAGGGGCAGAATTCCTGGTCTCTGAGCTGGGGTCCTTCTGGGATTCTCACTTGGCCTATGGGCTACACAAAGGCAGTCTGAGGGTATGAAGGCAGCTGGAGCATACCAACATGGCCTGAACCAGCTTCATGGCACTTTCTAATACAACTGTTCATGAAGGGGGGGCTCTCTGTTCAGCACCCCCTCCTTCTCTGCCTGACCTTTGACCCTCAGTTAATTTGTGTGAGGAAGCACCTACTTCCTCATGCGGGGGGAGTCCAGGCAGGCCACTGGAGTAAAGGCAGCCCTTTACAAAATGGTTAAGATAAAATGTGGCAGTTTTAAGGATCTCCAGGAAGCTTCTTTCTCCTGCCTCAGTTTCCTTTTCAGCTGCTAAAACACAGCAGGGAGCATCAGGACAAAAAAACAAGTCCAGAAGATCCTGTCCAAGGCTGTCAGGCCTCTTTCCTCTGTCCAATGTCATTTACTTGAAGTTCTTAGCCTAACTCTAACTGGCTTGAGGCCACTTTGCATCTTCTCCCCACCCAGTGTTTGAGAACGTGTGGGGTGGGTCACCCATGCACCCTTGCCCTGGTTTGATCTTGCAGAGAACAGGTGGACAGGTCCCTAGCCAGCCTGGCAGATGTAAGTGGACCTAATCTCTAGGGCAAATTTGTTCTTCGTTGCTCCTAGTATCAGCCTTTGATCAATCATTAATCAAAGATACAATAAAAAGACTATCCTCTCAGGACTGGGCTGTAAAGCTCCTGGCTGCAAGGTTAAATAAAGCCTTCTTTGGAGGCCTCCCAGTCAAAAAGAGAAGGGCTGCGTGTCTTCGGCTGCCCCAGAAGACAAACAAGGGCTCTGTCTGTACTGGGTGCACACACTTCAGCTCTGTCTTGGCCATGACATCGTGTTTTACCTTTCTCTACTGATCAAGGTAGAGACGTCTTGAATCCCAGACCAGGTGGCCAAACAGAGGAAAGGAGCTATAGTTAGGTTGGAATGTGAGCTTGGGGTACCCCCAGGGTATGTGGTAACTGCTCTCTTACTGGGTCAGATCGAAGTGCAGAAGATGGCCTCAGGAGAGGAGGCACAGAGAGAGAAAGAGGCTACAAGAGGGCTCAGAGGATTTGCTGTTCTGGCCAGCCCCTTGAGAAGGGAGGTCCTGTTCCCCAACAGGCTGGAGAAGCAGGATCTAATCAAGGATAGTGCTAGGCTCAGCACCATGTCCTAGAAGCAAGTGCCTCAAGGCAGAGGCTGGAGGGACCTGACTAACTGACAGCGGTTCCAGAGAGCTGTCATTCACCATCTATAAGGGCACAAGAGACAGGCCTCTGTCCATCCGTCACCCCACCATGTGTACCTGGACTGGCCCACTCTGCAGCACAGTTTTAGATACATTAGGAAAAAAATGGGCATTTTCAGAGAATTACGACCCAGTATATGAGTAGAGTAGAAATCATGAGTAGAGCAAAATCAGCCGGGAGAAATCTCTCAAGAGATCATTGACATCCAGAATACATCCAGTTCTGCATGGCTCCAAGAAAGGCGGTAACACTGTGAGATAGTGTGAGGAATTCTTCCTTTAGGTTCAATATGGCTTCTGAACACACACTCTCTCTCTGTCTCTGTCTCTGTCTCTCTCTGAGAGGAAATAGAAAGACACTGAAATTTTAACAGTGGCTATGTTTAGTGCTTGAGAATAATTTTGAGCCCCCTTCCATGTTTATTAATAGTTTCTAAAATCTAAAATACACATTCCTTTTCCTGGTCAAATATAATAATATGTATCACTACATTACTTACTTGCCATGACAAAGTATGAGACAAAAGCAACTTAAGGAACAAAGGCTAACTTTGGCTCATGGTTTGGGGTACCATCCTCATGATGAGAAGGCACATCAATAGGTTTAGGAAGCTGGTTACTTTGTACCAATAGTGAAGAAGCAGAGAGTGCTCAGCTCTCTGTTTTTTTATTGTTCAGCCTAGGATCCCAACCCACAGGATTATGCTGCTCACATTTAGGGTGGGTGTACCTACCTTAATTAACCGAACCTAGAAAGTGCTTCATAGACAGGCTCAGAGGGTTATTTTCCTCATGACTAAATCCTATCAAGTTGACAATCAAGAAAACCATCATAGAAATAATCATGCTTTGTGTCTGAGACAGATCTAAATAGAGAAGGCTGGTCTAGGACCCCTTGGTAGCTCAGAATTATCTTGCCTCAACCTCTCTAGTGCTGACATCTGCTTGGTCATTATAAGCCTTTTAAGAGTATGGTTTCTGGCTGGGTGGTGGTGGCGACAGTACTTGGAAGGCAGAGGCAGGCAAATCTCTGTGAGTTCGAGACCAGCCTGGTCTACAAGAGCTAGTTCCAGGACAGCCTCCAAGGCCACAGAAAAAACCCTGTCTCAAAAAAGAAAAAAAAATAAAGTATGGTTTTTGAGGCATTACATATAACCATCTTTAGAAGGTTTCCCCCATCCTAACTGGAATCCCTATACTCATTAATCATGAGTTTCCCACTTTCCCTCCTAGTCCTATCAACCACCCTTCTACTTCCTGTCTCTATGAAGGTGACTATCCTAAGTAGCTCATGTTAGTGGCATGTTACAAAATGTGTCCTTCAGAGTCTGACTTTTTTTTTTTTTTTTTTTTTTTTTTTTTTTTACTTGATGTAAGGTCTTCAAGGTATTTATACTCAGGAAACAATAACTTAAGCATGATGAATATTTCCAACCCAGAGCACAAGGAAGGGACAGGGCAGCAACTTCAGGGAGGTAAAGGATTTCCTTCCTACCACCTTCAGACCCGATCCAGCAAAGAACACCACAGTCTTGAGATGTTTGTACTGGCTTTTCATTAACTGAAAATGGTAAAATTCATATGGGGACTGAAAATCAAATGCTTCACCGGGAGCCCGGTGGGACTTTGTTGCAGCCCATGTCTGTTTTCAGAGTTCACTCTTCCTCCTAAAAACTTGGTTACCCTGTCTCAAAAACCAAAACAACAACAACAACAAATGAACAACAATTTGGTATACCCCATTAAAATGGTCATAATCACTTTCCATTGCCCTTGCAAAAAAGAGTAAATTCCTGGCACTTGGAGGTAGAACACATAGTCTTTCTGATGCCTAGAACCAAAAAACAAAAACTACAAACAAATACAAAATAGTGAGGTTGGGTGTATAAGCTCCTGACACTGGGCTACTGGGTGACCCACTCTTCTGCAAGTCCCTGATATTTATGCAGGCTGTTGACTTTGTATGCCTTTTGTTTCGTTAACTGTCAGTTCGTCGTCCACTAGATTGAAGTACTAAACCTTCAGAGGGAAACTGTGTACTTCATCACAACGGTTTACCCTCTTCCCTTGCTGCTGCAGTCATCAGAATTATTTGGTCTGTCCACTCCTCTGTCAATGTGTTTTCTGCACCCTTTGGCTGGGGTAAATAATGCTGCTATGAGCACTACATGTACTTGGATCTTGCCAGTTTTCCAAAGGCTAGGGTGCTAAATGCTTGATTGGCCTAAGGCACCAATGAGAAGTGATGAGACATTAAGGTGGGGACTGGTGGAATAAAGGTCACTGGGGATGTATGTGTCCATGAAGGAGATGTGGGGACTCCGCGTGTTCTGCTTCCCCAAGGACATAAGCAACTTCCTCCACCATGCAGCCTCTGTTCTACTTTATCCCAGGCCCAAAGGCAATGGTGTGGGTGACCATGGACTGAAGCCTCTAAAACCCTGAGCCGAATGGTCTTCTTCTTTAGGTTGATTACCTCAGGTGTTTTGTTATAGTGATGGCAAGCTGATAAATACAACAAAAATCTCTTCAACCCCTGCTTTCATTTCTTTTGGCTACACTGATAGAAGCAGAGGTGCTGGACTCTATGGTAGTTATTGTTATTATATTATTATTGTTATTAATAATAATAATAATAAAACAATACATAAGGTACTAGATACTGTGGCAGTTTGAATGAGATGACCCTCTATTAGGCTCATATATTTGAATGTTTGGTTCCAAGTTGGTGGTCTGTTTAAGAAAGACTAGGAGTGTAGTTGTTTTTCACTCTTTGGCTCTTTGCTCTTTATTCTTTGGGGGTCCACTACCCAGCTCCCAAATAAATTACTCAGAGACTTAATTCTTTCTCATGAATGCCTGGCCTTGGATTGGCCTGTTTCTTGCCAGGTTTCCTTAACTTAAAAATCCTGTTTATCTTTTGACTCTGGGCTTTACCTTTCTCTATTTCTGTATACCTTTCTTTACTTCTTACTCAGTATCTGGCTATGTGGTTGTGTGGCTGGCCCCTTCTTTTCTTGATCCTAGATTTCCCCCACCCTAATTTCTTCTGTTTATTCTCTCTGCCTGCCAGCTCCACATATCCTTTCTCCTGCCTAGCTAGCTATTGGACCTTCAGCTCTTTGTTAGACCAATCAGGTGTTCTAGACAGGCCAAGTAACACAGCTTCACAGAGTTAAATAAATGTAACATAAAGAATGCAACACATCTTTTTGTCATTGAACAAACATTCCACAGCATAAATGAATGTGACAACATAGGAGTGTGGCCTTGTCACTGGGATTGGACTTAGGTTTCAAAAGGGGCTGGTCTCTGTGTCTGCCTCTCCCTTCCTCCAACTTGTGGATAGGATATAAGTTGTCAGTTGCTGCTCTAGTATCACGCCTGCATGCTTACTGCCTTGCTTCTTGCCATGATGGCTGTAGACTCACTGTAAGTGAGCCCCCAATTAAATGCTTTCTTTTATAAGTTGCCTTGGTCATGGTGTCTCTTCACAGCAACAGAACAGTGATGAAGACAGACACAAACAAAGGGTCTTAATGATTCTCCCTCCTATATAGCCTCCCTGGCTCTTTTTCCTCTTCTGTGTTCCAGGCACCTTTTTGCCCCTTCCCATCCCTCTTCATCACCCACTGTCACCCTCTC